GTTTAGTTTACTGTATTCTGCGCTGCTCGCCGCGGTACATGAGGCGTGCAAATTTTGTTTTACAGCTTCAGGTTTAGTCGGTGCAAAGGTTCATGCCAACGGGATTGCTTGCTAAATCAGAGGAGGTGCAGGCGCTTGGATTTCTGCAGGGATAAAGGTGACTGAAGCTTGATGTTGTTACAGTGAACTAAAATTAGGTGTGGAAACCACAACAAGAATGAACTGAACCATTTAAAAAGTCACATATAAATGAAAACAAAGGGGGAAATGGCCGAGGAGACAGTTTATGCATGTTTAATAAGCTTAGGATGTTCACATGAGTGACTGTGAGTCAGCTGTTGATAAAATATTTGGGGTTTTTTCCGTCTTATAAACACCCTCCACATATTAATAATAAAAAAGTAAGCATTTCAAAATAAAATTAAAATGAGCAAACTCAGTGAAACAGTTTGAAATCAAGTGGAAAAACAAATGAGTGAGTGTATCCCAGGACCATGCCTTTTAACTTCAAAGGAATTTGTGATCATTAGAAATATCAACTGGTGTGAGTATTATTACATCGCCTCCAGCTCTGAATCTAAACCTGCACACCTGGAAACGTTTCTGCTGTTTCACTGAGTTTTAGGCCTGTTTTGTGAAAATCCAGTTCTTTTTGTTTTGAACATGTTTTAAAGATGCTTCTAATCAAAATGTTGAGTGTTTCAGGTCATTCCCTCGACACAGAAGCAAAGAAGAATGAAAATATCCTCAGTGGTTTGCCCTCTGAACGCAAAAAAAAAGCCCGCTTCACACTGTGGGACGCTGGCTCTGTGAGTACAACTTAATTAAATTCAAATCTTAATTAAAGTTTTTTATTGTTTCTCATAATAATGTGAACATCAGCTGATTTTGTGCTTGAATAAAGGCAGCTGTTCTTTAAACGTTTCTGATTGTCTGTATTTATTTTGTATTTGTTTGAATGATGAACCTTTTACACCGTCAGTCCTCCGGAGGGCAGCATTGAGCGGAGCGATATTAAACAGAGGCTTTGTAGCTTATATGGGGGGAAAGTTCAGCTATTTTCTCATAAGTAACATCCAGTCTCCCGTGTGCAGGATGAACACGTTCATTCTGACACAAATAGGAGACGGTCATCTTTATGATTGCACAACTAACGTTGCGTTTGCCAGATAAAGGCAGCAACAGTATTCTTCACTTCAGAGGGACTTTTCCAGAGAGTAGATAAGAGAAACTAAATCAGGATGTAGTGAAAGTGAGGACACCTGTGAACAGGTGTGGCTCACAGTTGGATCTATAAGCTTTTGGAAGATTAAACATGTTGACAGGAGCCTCTAAAAATGGGGTAAATGGTTGTAAAATGAACAGTTATGTCAATGCTTTTCTTAAAAATGTGTTTAGTGTCCTTTGTGTTGGTGCACAGAGGCAAAGTGTGTCATCATCAAATACTTATTGAACCTAACTGTGCAGTTTCACCACCGGGGCTGCGTTGTGTTCTTCATCTCATCGAGCTCAGTTTATATTTCTCCTGCACTTTTATAAATCACTCCCAGCGTGTTATTCCTTTTTAGGTTAAGCTATGAGGCCGGAGATATTCTGGAGAAAATGTTTATGAGTGTGCTCCCAGATGTTTGTGCAACTGAAGTGAAAAGTTGTTCCAGTTGCTTCGATCTGGCAGCTGCTGCAAGAGGAAAACATTTCTCCTGCCGTGTAGTCGTCTTTAGAGTGCATCGGCCATGATTGTTGAGCACGACGGGCTCCGCTCTGTCCCGATGGAGTGAAAAACTGAAACACTGGGAACACCAATATAAGATTAACAAATAATGAAAGACAACAGTATCAAAGTGACTGATCTGTTCTTTCACCAGCCTCCATCCTCTGCTTTTGAGACCACCAAAAAAACATTTCATCTTATACAACATCAGGGCAAATCCTACATACTCCATGCAAGCATGAAAAAATGATCTGAGAAGTGTCCAAGAATATTTTTGCAGAGGGAAGAATGAATCCTTCCATGTCAGGGAATTGGTGGCCGCTAGATGGCAGTAGACTCGCTCAACTGCTGCTTCAGCCGCTTCCCCATTCATGTGATTCTCCTGGGAGGGGCCTGAGGAGAGGATGAGTCATCTCACTTAGAATTCAGCCTTTAAGCCACCGAGCAAAGACGCCATTCATTCATTGTCAGCAGGCCCACAGTCACTGCCATCTGTGTGTGTGTGTGTGATGTTCAGCGATCTGATATTTTCTTCAGACAGCTGCGTTTGTTCTAATAATAATCTGGCATATCATGTAGCTCTTTCCCATTTAAACGCTTGCATCATCACACAGATCAGCCACTGTCAGCCCCTTTTCTGTCTCCTTTGGGCTTTTTATGAATACTTTGCAGATCCTGATTCAGTGTTGTGTTTTTGTCCAGCGTTTTTCAGATCTTTAAGCCTAGTCTCACACACACCTGGGTAGTGTTGGGTGTATTGTGAGTAAGCGTGGTAATATGAGAAAGCGCCTGCTGAGACAGGGAGCATGAACATCCCCGCAGACCTCTTCAATCATTTATCCAGGAGATGAGTTGCAGGGCAGCCAGTGAGGTGTCACAGTGCACCCTCTTCACACACATGCCAGACAGTCACATGAACAAGTGTCATATATTATGTTCCACATAAAATTAGATGTGTTTTATGTGTGTAAATTGCAAGTTTACAGTAATAAGATGGAAACACTAGGTTGTCAGAAGCTGATATAATGCAGCTCTGTCTTGGACTGTGATTGGCAGAGGAAACTGAATACAGCACAGCGAGTTCACTCTCCTCTGGGACATACTGTGGTCAACGATCCAAATAAGGTTGAAAATCCAGCAACTTCAAATGTGGCCAGAAGCCGGCATGTTTCAGGCACAGATGCAACAAATACGACTCCCAGCTTCCACCCCAGCAGTCCATGTGGTCTCCTATTTCACTCTCAAGTGAACAAGGTTGGGTCAATAACGTAATTTAGATCCAGAGGATTTCCTGCAGACTAACTAAGACAGCAAGTGAAAATTAATCTTTGCCTAGAAGGACACAACAGTCAGGCCAAGTCTGATCAGTCAGAGCCAAAGTTAAAGGAACAGTTTTACATTTTGAATTGGAATACTCTCTGATTAAGACTCTCTTTCTTGATAAGAGAGTCAGTGGCCCTGAGTAGTAAAGATAGAAACACTTTAAATTATGGTCCACAACTAAGGGCATCATTTCCCAACAATTAAATCGATTTTAATATATTTTATTCGAAACGACAATCTAAATATATTTATCTTCAAATTCCTAAAGGTAGGGACACTAGAATAAGGCTGTAACAAGTCAGGTTTTTACAGCAAACAAATAAATAATTAGACTGTAAGTAAATTTAAGTAAAGCATAATTTCTTGGCTATTGACTGAGACATGGAACACCACCTCTCTGGTGGAGAAGGAGCATGAGCCAATCGTGAGGATGAGAGGTACCAGCTAGATATAGTCGGGCTCTCCTCAACACACGACTTGGCCTCTGAAACCAGTCTCCTGGAGAGGAGTTGGAGTCTGTCTCAGTCTGGTGTTGCCTGTGGTGAGAGGCGGCGGGCTGGGGTGGGTATCTTAGTATCCCTGCCTTCCCTGCTGCCTGTATGTTGGATTTTTCCCGGTGGATGAGAGGGTTTGTTCCCTGATCCTGCAGTTCAGGGAATGGGTCCTGACTGTTCTCTGCGCTTATAAGCCAAACAATAGTCTAGCGTATCTGGCCTTCTGAATCTACAGCTGTATATTCTGGACACTTGGGTGAAGAGAGGGGCTGAGCTGTCAACTGACCACCGCCTCACCTGGCGGTGAGTTGGATCAGGTGGCCGGGTAGGATGCTGGACAGACATGCTGCACTGAGCTGGTTGGTGCCTGTCATGGCGGGAACCCTCGATTGAGATGGTGGACACCGGTGGTGAAAGGAGTCCTACTGGGCTTCAGAGGCAGCTGATAGGTACAGACAGGCCAAATGAAACACGGCTCGGGCAGTGGCTGAAGCAAAAGCTCGGGCATGGGAGGAGTTCAGAGAGGCCACAGAAAAAGACTTTTGGACTGCCTCGTAGAGATTCCGGCAAACCGCCAGGCAACTCAGGAGGGGAAAGTGGTCCTCTACCTGCACTGTATGCAGTGCTGACTTCAACTGAGGATTTTGTCAGGCAGTGGAAGGGATCTCCTTAATCCTACTGATACATCTTCCCTAGAGGAAGCAGAGTCTGGAGACGAGGGGGATGACTTGTCCATCACTGGGCGTGAGATCACTGAGTCAGTTAAACAGCTCCTTGGTGGCAGAGCCCCTGGAGTGGATGAGGTTCACACTGAGTTCCTAAAGGCTCTGGATGTTGTAGGACTGTCTTGCCTCTACGATGTTGCATGGAGATCATGGGCAGCACTTTTATGTTGGCAGACTTGGGATGTGGTTCCCATCTTTAAGGAGGAGGACCGGAGGGTGTGTTCCAACTATGGGGGATCACACTCCTCAGCCTCCCCAGGAAAGTCTATGCGAGGGTGCTGGAAAGGAGAGTCTGACAGTTAGTCGAAACTCAGCTACAGGAGGAACAATGCGGCTTTTGTCCCGGTCGCGGAAGACTGGACCAGCTCTTTACCCTCTCTAGGATAATTGAGAGTGCATTGCTCAACCAGTCTACATGTGTTTTGTGGACTTGGAGAAGGAATTTCCCTCTGAGTTTAATATTTTAAATTATTAATAAGTAATAATTTTGTTGCTGTGTTGCCCCTTATTCTAGTGTGCATACCTTTAAGGATTCAGTTACCTGCTACTTAGCTTTGCAGAACAGCACAACTGGTCGGATTGTGTCCAAACATGTTAAAATCTGCCTTTAAAGCATCTTTAACACAAACAAAAACTGCAGAGCAAAAATGAAAGGTGCCTTTGCACTAGGACATTACAACATTTCAAGTCTTTATTTTTTATGCATGTTAAAGAAGTTGCAAAGTCACAATTAATAAGTTAGCCGGATTCTCTAAGCCTGGGACAGAGCCATGCCAGTGATTTTACCTTGTTTCTGTATTTCCACTGTTTGTGTGAAGCTGAGCTAACAAGCTGTTGGCTGCACATGACAGTGAAAGTTCTGCAGTTGCACATATGTCACAGGACATACTGCACACGTCTCTTTTTACATCATGTTTATTTTTGTTGTTTGTGAACTACATGAGGAGTACAGCAATAAACAAGATACACAGAGCAAACAATGAAATGCAATAAGTCGTTATTCAGGATTGCATATATTAAAATACAGCAGGTGAACTCAGCACACTGACAATATACTGACTGTAAACACTGAACATGTAGGTAATGATTTGTCACACGTAGCTCCGTCTTTGGTTATTATAATGTCCAACATGATGACATAGTACATATGTGCCTCCTCTGACAGACTGAAAAGTTCCTCCGGTTGTGTTGCTACATTATAATATTTAACAGACATGCTAGATTCTGACGATGTCATGAGCTTAAACTCCCACAGACACATTTATCGTGATTACACCGAGGTTATATTGAAAAAGCACCATGAGAAGTGCATAAACATCACTGTACCTTCAACATTAACATACATACCCTTTATAACGCAACTTTGACTATCCAGAGATTGTGTAGCAATTACGATGCTCTACTGCTAATATTGTGACCTGAAATGAACAGCCTGAATGTATTATTATTGTTTTTTTATTATTATAAGTTGCATTTATTTGAGTCATCTTTTGGTCTTCATTGATTTTCATCCACACCCCTTTCTGCACAGTGTAACACAGCTTTTGTGGTTGCACCAGCCAGGGTAAAATATGAGCTTCTAGTCCTTTTAAGAGGATTCTGTTGGACATCTGTTTGAAAAACTGCTACATCTACATTTATATTTCAGCTGTCAGCCAGCCACAGGGGCCCGAGTGTTGGCTGCAGCTGCTATTTCTGACAGTGTTTATGAGAATTCTGGCTTGTGGCTGGCATCGGCTGATTTGCTTAGGGTTGGGCACTAATGCCCAGAAGCATTCAGTGGATGGTACTCGCTCTCAGGCTCTTCCAGGCTGCTATTTACTCTTCAGTATGGAAGTATGTGTGTTCATGTTGCCATTCTGAAACCTGACACTGAACACGATATTTTGTCGCAGTGTGATAACAAAATATGCAAATAAACTTGCTCAACTGGAAACTTATTGTTATGTTTGTTAGCATTATCAATCAGTTTCAGGTTTTCCATCTAGAGCAGCTTCCATACGTTTCTAAGATTCATCCATCCAAACTCACAAAACAATACTATTTATACTATTTTCTTTTACTCGAATTATTCTGTAATCTTTGGTAATTTAATTTGAACCCAACCTCTAAAATCGAGCAGTTTGACTGTAATGTTTACATCTAATAACTCGCTCATATAGAACATAATAAAATGGTGGCATTTATTTGTAGCTAAATTCAGCTGGCTGATTTTGTTTTTGTCATCTGGAATATGTGTTTAACTTTAGCTTATTGCAATGAATTCTTTATGAACCAGGAACCAGGATTTGTTTTTTCTGCATAATCCACAGATAACAGTAACTATACCTGAAGCTTAGTCGGTGGAATAGTTTCTTTTTAAATGAGACTGTATTCATGCTATTGGCATGCTATTTGCTAATCAATCAGACAATGACATCAAGAGTTCATCAATATTTACTGCAGATTACTGACGCTCAACAACAGCACTGTTTACTGGAAATGTATGCATACTGGATGAGAATAAATTTGCCAAATAACAGTCAATAATTGTGTTTATACTGATAAAATAGCTGCTGAGTGTTTATATCCTGAGAACCAGCCTATTCATTTATGTCTTCTCTAATGGACGTTTGTTTTTGGTTGATATCGTTTGACTTATTTGAGCTATGCTAATAAGCCCTGGTGTACTAAATAGAGGACATCCTGGTCTATCCATCTATATCTTATGTGTTTGGGTGGCCTCTTTTAGCCCCAAAGAGGGTGGAAATTACAAAAAAAGTTCAGTGGGAAGATTCATTTTTCCCTGGTTCTCAGGAGGATATGAAGAGCTAGTCTGGTTCATTTTAAAGATTTCTTTTTAAGTAGTGCCTTCAGACAGCAGCTGTTGTGAACTGGAGCAATATAAATAATATTTTATGAGACAAAAAGTCAACTAAATTTGTCAGAAATTAGAATTCATTTTAAATGATAATAAAAGTATACCTGCATATGATATTTAATCAGAGCTGCTTTTAAAAGCACTTCATCTTAAGGCCAAAATCACTGCAAAAAACACATATTGCTGTTTAAACATTAAATCGCACTTGCATCTAAAAAGAAATTTAACTGAAAAAGTTGCATAAGTGTAATTATTAACAGCACTGTTTTCTGTGAAGTTTAGGAATGTTACATATAGCAGAAATATTGCATAATAATAGTAACAGAGTGAGTTCTGCAAGCTTTGCATAAAAATTAGCCTCCCTTTCTACGTTATTCAACAAATTCAGAACTTCTCACCTTTGCAGCACCTTCATCCCAATTGCAAGAAAGGCCATATCTTTAACATGCAGGCTACTGGCTACTCTGAGGTGACCTTCTCTCAGTAATGCCTTTAAGTAGTCTACTAAGCGCTGCTTGGTGGTTAATGTCTACATGGTAAGCATTTTTAAGAACGCAAACAATATTTAAAGTTCATATATTCTCATTTTTAGGGAACACGTGTTGCATTTATGAAAAAAAAAAACCAGTTCTCTACCAGAAATATAGCGCTCTGTGCCTTCACAGAGGAGTCATTTGTTAAGACGCATCACAAATGGAAAGGCCTAAAAGTGATTTAATCAAAAGATTAAAATCAATTTGAATCTTATGTTACTGGACCGGCACCACTGTCTCGAGTCAACTAAAGCTTTGTTTGGAAGATGCTCACTTTTGATATTTTGCTCACATTCTTAGAATACAAAGAAGCAGCGGCATCGCTCTTATTTCATATGACCATAGGAGAATTGGAGCACACCGAGCTGACATCAGACCTTGTTCTGCCCCTGTTGGCCCCCTGCCACTCCTCATCTTCCTCACTTATTGGATTCAGCCTCCCATTCTGCTCCAGCTGTTCTTTAGGTTCCAGGAAGGCCGTGTGTCTGTAGAGGAAACCTCCATCTCCCACCCTCTCTTGCCATCTCTCCTCGTGTGCCTGGGAGAGACTGACAGTTGAAGAGTGGAGGCTGTCTTTGCCGTCATTTTTCTCCATGTTCTGACCTGGACAACAAGCGCAGCGACACGGTGTGAAAAAGAGGTAGATGAGAATCATGACGAGACTGATCAGACACGCTACAAGGGTGGTGTAGGCTGTTTTTAGATTCTCCAGTCCTTTGCTCATGGTGGTATTAAACACCACTACAGTTACATACAGCGTCTCATTGAATGAATCACTTGTGGCATAGCAGGTGTAGACCCCTGAGTCTTCTACCTTTAGGGGCCCAATCCTAAGGCTGCTTTCGTTACGGATGAAAGTGGTTTCGTTTTGAGACACTGTCAGGTTTCCTGGCAGCACCCATCTCTTCACCATGTTCTTCTGTCTGGTGTCACAGTCTAACACCAAAGATTGCTCCAGATAGCCTTCTTTTTTAAAACCTTTGACCTCACTGCAGTTCAGATACTGTCTGGTCAGATCTAGTATGGCCATTTTTTCCTTCGGCTGGCCTGATGTCACACATGTGTGGTTGCTCCTGAAGTCAGTGGAAGGGCTGAGCTCCCTGAGTTCCCAGTGTGCCATCAGTTCATACAGCTCACAGCTGCAGGTTAGAGGGTTGTTGTGGAAGTACAGACCGTTTTTAATCCAGGCAGGCAGAGCCTGAAGCTCATCCAGGGGCAGAGCTTTAATTCGGTTGGAGGAAACATCCAGCAGTCTAAGGCTTTTCAGCCTGCCTCGGCCCTTTAACAGCTCTACGAGGATGCGTGTGATCTGGTTGTGGCTCAGATAGAGCCTCTGCAACTCGATGAGGCCAGAGAAGGCAGAGCGATCTATCTGAGAGATGTGGTTTTTATAAAGCAGCAGGACCTCCAGATTCTCCAGCGGCTCAAAAATGTATTCGTCCAGCAGGCGGAGGCTGTTAAAGGAAAGGTCCAGGTAGCGAAGCTTTCTCACATTCACAAATGCCTCAGTGGAGAGAAAGGTGAGGTTGTTATTACTGAGCAGCAGGCTTTGCAGCTGGTCGAGTCTGATGCCGGTCCAATCAGCTTGGAGCTTGGTGATAAAGTTGAAGCTGAGGTCCAGCACAGCTGCATACGATGGAAGAGCGTTGGGAACATTTGTTAGATTCTGCTTGGAGCAGCTGATGATGGTGCTGGCACACAAACAAGTCTTCTGACAAACCAGGGGGCTTCCAGTTAGCTGCCCACTGGCTCTCACTGCTGGTAACAGCAAAGTCAAGTGCAGAATAAAGCAGCTCCTTCGTTTTAACACTGCAACAGCAGCAGGCCAAAAAAAGCCGATGGAGCCCACCATGGCGCCAGCACTACGCACTGCAGGGACTCTGGATGTTCTCTTAGTTTTCACAGTGGAAAATCATGGATCTGTAATCACACATTGGGCCACGTGATCAATAAATCAGCTGTCAGGACATAATATGACATGATAATGATGCAGAGTCTCATGCCATTAAAGCAAACCCGCGCTCTAATGCAGAGAGGCGTGGTGCATTTGCGCAGCTGGATCATTAAAAAGTTGAATGTCGGCAAAAATGTTATCAGTGTCATATCGTGTCGTAGCATAGAATAAATAACAAACTATGGCGATTAATCAATGTGTCAAATTATTCAAAATAAACAGAATAGTCTAAAAGTTAAGTGTGTGTGTTAGTCGTTTCCCTGATATCAGTTATCAAAGCATTTACATTTGTCCCAGCGGGCGGACGCGATTCTGCGTTACCTTTTTTTCTCCCGTTTTTTAAAGAGAAAGAAGTCCTTAGCAGTCCAGTCGCGGAGATGATTAGGACAGATGCATCTTCTTCATCTTCATCATCTTTATCGTCGGCGACCCGCGAGCTCACAGACATCCACCTTAACACGCTGAGCTACGGGCGAACGCACTCTGCTGTCCGGCTCCAAATGACCGGAAGAGGCTGTGTGCAAGCCTCGCTGGTGAGGAAAGGAAATGCAACTATATCCGAGAGCTGATCTGATGTGAGGGGTGCAAACAGCAGAGGTGGGTGTGTGCCACATTTCCTCTCCTGCTCTCTGTCTCTCTGTCTCTTATGGCCAGTCTCTGATTCAAAAGACAAAAAACAAGCACCCAACATGAAAGCAGTGAGATGACAGCTCGGCTACACAAGCTTCAACATTTCATCATCTTTATCGAAGCTGATTTTTATTCTGCTTCCAATGAGCCAACATTTCTGATATTAAAACAGTGGTTCTCCAGGTTATCTGGAGGTCTTCCAAAGTTTGTCTTTGGACACATTTTTAGTGGAATGTTTTAGTTTGTTTGTTAACAGGCAAAAAAACATAAATAGGTACGTTTTTTCCTTCACTTTTACCTAACCTGACTTGATGGCTCATTCAGTGCTACCATGCCTTTAATAATGAATCTCTTTCCCCAAAGTTGTCCTAACATCCTGGTGAAGGACGAGGTACCTGTGTGGATGAACTGCTGCAGCTCTGGACATGATGTGCGTACAGTAACATAGGAATCAATACGGGAAGTTCAGAGTACAGCACAACATATGGACTTACAGTAAACACCAGGCAGGCACAGACACATTAAGCACAATCAGTCAAATAAAGCAGGAAAATTAAGAGGCACATAAAGTTTCTTAAGATGGATTGCTTGAAGAAGTTTTATTGTACTGCAACATCCATGCAAAGGACAAACCAGTCCTGAAAACTGGTCTCTTATTTGATGAGGTCAGACCTCATTTACAGTCATTTTCAAGGCTGTGATCTCACAGGTAGACCTCAGGTGTAACTCAAAACAAAGACAATATTTATCTCTGTGGTTTTTGTATTACTTGTGCCAGCTGACTGGGATAGCTTAAAGGGGACTGTGCCATCAGTGATGCTATTAACTAAACTTGTGGTTTCCACCTCATGACAGGTCAATATGTCTGTTGTGGAAAAGGTCTGCATGCCACTTTATAGTAGTGTGTAAATACTCATCACTAGGAGAGTGTATAACATCGCCTGTGTATCTAGTGCCCAACAAAGTTTATTTCACTGTTCAACAGACCTCTGTGAGCCACAGTGAGTGATGTGGTGCTTTTGTCTGCAGGGGAAATGGGCTCTATGGTGTATTTCATACACAGTCCTGATGCTGTAAATACTGACTGCAGCGCCAGATATGTGTTTATATGTAAATGATCTCCAGCAAGTACTGTTATTTGAAGAATAAACCACTGTGCCTGGTTTTAAGTGGTGGCGTAACCTTAACTGAGTGTGAGTGTGCATCAGAAGTTAGTGAGGGTATAAACTCTCACTGCCCACCAGTGTTGGGACTAACGCGTTATTAAGTAACGTTACTTAATAACGCGTTACAGTAACTACGTTATTATTGTGGTAACGAGCACGGTAACTAGGTATTATGCCAAAATTAGGAACGCGTTAATCGTTACTGGGATTTAGATAGGGTCGTTATTCGTTACTTCGTGTGGTGAATCCACAGATTCAGTAACATTAGCAAGTGGTGGAGGCCAGGAGGTGGATGAGGGAAAGTGGAGGCAGGAGCAGAGACCCGAAGCGGCCGCCGGTCCGAGTGTCAGGTGGACTGAACTTCAGGTAAGAAGTTATGACCTGCAGTCTATCTGGGTCAGATCTAAACCAAGTTTAGGTGGAGTTTATTTTCGTTTTGCTGACTTTTTCGTACTGGGTACTCGCTAGCATGACTGAGTTTCTAATTGCCAACCATCCTGTAAAAAACAGAATCGTCTCGTATTCAGAGAAAATATTGTGCGTTTCGTGTTGAGCTGAAAAGGAACAGTTTGTCCCGGACTTCAGCTACAATGGAAAAGACACAAAGCTGGAGGTATTCTGTGTCTTTGCTGCACAGCTGCCTCTTCTCCTCTCATTCTCTCTTCCTCCCTCTCCTGTTGCTACTTTAATCATGAAACTGATCAATGATCAGCTGATCGGCTTTTCTCTCTTGCTTGTTTATCGCCCACTTGGCGCCAGAAAGAAGAAAACAGCGGTTGTCGCGCTAAACAACAGCAGCACATTTAAGCTTGATCAGCTGTTGTTAGAATTTATTTAATATTAATTTCTAGTATCAGCTGATGTTTGCTGGAGCCACAGCTGTAAACCTGCTGGTCATGATGTCAGTTTGGTTATCTGGTGAGAGGGAAACATGAAGATGAAACCAGGAGATGTCCTTACTGAATCATCAGAGCTGTGATGGAGAAACAGGTTTACCTTTTAGGTGACATGAATGAGTTGAAGGGAAGTTATGAACCGTTTCTGAGAGACAAATAACACCAGGATCCTTTTTTAGGTAGCTGACAGCTGGTAACTGTGCAGGGGCGGGTCTAGCAAAGTGTTGCCAGGGGGCCAGGTAGGGCATTAACAGGGAGAGGGGGGCACAAAGAAATACTTTCTTATTCTCATTTAAAATGTCTAGCTTTTAAAAAATAATTATCTGAATCTTACAACAAACGATTGATAGATTGATGCATATATACCATCAAAACAGTGTACATCACTGTCACAACAGTGTTTATTATCATTCAAAGTCTTTATGATTTTTGCTATAATGGTGGGCCGGTCTCTAGTCAAAACGCCCAGGCCGATTTTTTTGTCCCAGTCCAGCTCTGTATGCAGCTCATCTGCAGTCTGGTGTTGCCTACATCTTCCTATTCAGAAGCAGAATTTCCGAGTTCTGAGTACAATCGAAAGCACCACGACTGCAGTTTTTGTGTTGGATGTAAAAAGCGCACATGACGTTGTGACGTAGGCTAGAATCATGGCGGCGGTCAACAACGGTCCAGGCGTGGGATTTCTCTCGTGGAAATGTGCACATTATTTTTTCCTTTCTATTGGTAGGTGGCACAGTGCACTGTGGCAAGTAAGCAAGCTAGAAGACCGGCAAAGTTATGGAAGAAACACATTAATAAGAGAATTCTGAGTAAAACCAAAGTTACTTTCCCTAGTAACTAGTTACTTTGAAAGTAACGAGTAACTTGAAGTAACTGAGTTACTTTTGATAGAAGTAACTATTAATGTAACTAAGTTACTAATTTAAAGTAACTTACCCAACACTGCTGCCCACACAGCTTACTTAGACTACCCTGGGAAAAACCCAGAACCTACTCTAATGGTCATCAAACCACATCTTTATTGATATATGCTGACATGTTAAAACTTGTCACAAAGGGTATGTGAGGGTCACAAATATCATCTTTATTGAACAAAGAGTTAAAGTTTGACACCTCCGGTAAAAAAACTGGGTTTGGAGGTGGTCTGTTCTTTTTGTCGCAAATATTAAGAGACCGGCACTAGATTTAAATGCAATAAAAATGTTGCAAACTGACATCCTTATCCATCCACAAAGCTAGTCTTCAGAATAAACACAAATACCTCACTATACTATAGATACTCATTCTTTCCAGTGAATGAGCCCGCTGTTTATTGTGCCCTAGCGAGTCATGTAAACTCACTTCTCCTCATCCCACCAAACTCTTCAAGCTCTTCAGCCTCATGTGAATTCTATAAGGAAGTATCAGACGGCAAGGGTGATTCAGGCCACAGCCTGGTGGAGGGTCATGAGGTTTAAGTTCTCCTGTAAATTATAACTAAAGTGCAGCTTCAGGGCAGTGGTCGCAGGTAGTATCTAAACCAGCCCACGGTGTGGAAAATAAAGGGAATGTATGTCCTTGCAAGACACGAGACATGTTTTTCAAAAGCTTGCCTGATGAATTGACACTAACATTTTGTATCCTGATGCCCAAAGTGTCATGGTCCTGAGTCTGAGGACTCAGTGTTTTGTGTTCCTTATGCTTTTGTTCATTCAGAGTGTGTATTCTGTTGTGATTTTGCCATTTGTTAGGTTTCTGTTCTTTGCCTGCCTGCTTCCACTTCTCTGTGTTCCCTCTGTCTGTCCATGGTGTTATTGTGTCTGCTCATGAGTCTGCCTGTCAAGTTCAGTGTCCGGTCTGGTTCTCTGTGTCTGTTAGTTTCCTGTTTTATTCTGAAAGTTCATGTCTCATGTCAGTGTGTTCAGTTTTACCGCTCCCCTGTCTCGTTAGCCTTATTGCTCCCAGCTGTGTCTCCCTCCTGTGGCCCATTCCCTGATTACTCCCCGTGTATTTAAGCCCTGTGTTTTCCTGTGCTCTCTGTCGCGTCGTCTGTTTAGCGCCATGTCAGTCTGCATTATTCTGTTACCGGGTATTCATTCTGCGGCTCTCTGCCATCTCTCTTTGTGCATTTCGCTCCTCCTTCCGTGAGTGTCTGGTTTAAGTTTTGTTCTTTAGTTTTCCCAGTTTAGGTTTGTTTACTCCCCGCTCTGCTCTTCCTGTTTTGTCACTTTATCACCTCTGCAAATAAATTTTCACTCGCACCCCAGTCAGTGCCTGCATCTTGGATCCTTTTCTCAATTCACCACACGACTGCTGTGCAGCCATGACACAAAGGATATGTCCTACAACCTTAGACACTCTTGTCTTTTGCTCTGGTGTGTAAATATTTCTGAAATGTGTGTTTTCAAGTAAAAAAAAAAAGAAAGAAAGGCTCTGGGTTTGAACCTGTTGCTCAGCTCTTGCTTGTTAGACAAGGTCTTCATGTTTTCCTTGTACCTATGTTTCTCTCCTGTGGTTGCTCTGACTTCTGGTTGCCTTCTCATGCTTCACTGTTAGGTAAACTGTCCATTGGATTGAATGCACACATTGCATTGACTTCTGCCTCTCTGTTTGCCCTGTTGTGTCCAGGGTGTGTCCTGCCACTTCCACAGTCTTAGCTGGGATATATTTTAGGACAGATTTGTGCTTGTGGTGTTCTTTGTAGGATCACATGAGTCACCGATGACTATTTTCCTTATTAAGGAATCCATGGTGACAGATTTGGCTGATTTACTAAACATTTGAAGTCGTTCACAGCCTGAGAAAGAATAAAATTAAACCAGAGTAACCTGTGTCAAGTACAGGTTAGTAAGAAGAAGCA